TTTTCCGAAACGATAGAGAAACTATTATAAATCAAAAGCGCACAAAAGTGCGAAAAAAGATACAAAGCTCCCAACGGGAGAATAAAGTGGGAGGACAAGTCAGAAAACCGCCTAGAGTCCCGCTAGCAACGCTAGAATTAAAACACTCAAAACTAAACTAACACACAAACAAACAACTAAAACAACGCAAAAGACCCCAACCGGAGTAATACCAAACTAACACTCAAACAAACAACTAAAACAACTTAAAAGACTCCAACCGGAGTAATGCCCGAAAAATACATTATTACTAATGAGTGCCATTTTTACATTATCTTGCCATTTTACGCTTATTCATATATAAGTAAAATAGTTTATCAATATATTGTTCATTTTTACTAATGAGTAAATTTTTAAAATATGATATGTATATATATTATATAACTTATAGTTACAAATATAATATCTATATCTACAAATTATAATATTTTTATTAATACGTGTGCATAGAAATGATCACTAGTTAATTTGAAAAAGTCAAAATTAAATTAGTTGCGTATTTATGCGATAACAAAGCAGCATTAATTCGTCCCACACGGTTAATGGAATGTGTGCAGTATAAAATGAGTAATTAAGAATCTACATATAAAATCAAGGGAGAGCTATGGTATTTCATCGAAATTTGTAACCGTTAGATCGACTATCTTCGATGGTTACATGATGATCTAACAATTATAAACACGTTGGAATGGTTTCGTAAGGATATAAATTAATAATTAAATATTAATGATTATTAATGGTATCTAATATATATATATATATATATATATATATATAGGTATGTTTGATAAATCTAAATAAAAAAGCTAGTTTATAGAAGATAAATTATCTGGTAGTTCATAAATTAATTTAAAATATAGTTGGTTGTTGACGACTGAAAATCTAACTGATATAAAAATATTTTGTAAGAAATTAAGTAATAAGTTAGTAGATACAAAAACCTGAATGGACATTTTCAGGGTAGTTGGTAGCTAGGAAATGAAAACCTAGTCGATATGATAAAAATATTTAATAAAATTAACTGGTAAAGAAGTTGATACAAAAATTTCAATCATACTTTGTTTGAAACGGCTGTCTGAATAAGTATATTATATAATGTCGACTTTTAGAAGAAATCGTCCGACGAAACGAGACTTATGTTCACATATGAAATTTATACATCAAATGAATTAACTCTAAAGACGGTAGTATAGTAGTATTTGAGGAGAAAAAAAAGGTCAATTAAATATAAAATATTTAATGTGGTGACATTTCAAACTATAAGTTCTAAAAATAGTTTGATCGGTGGTGGGACATCTGACTTGTATAAGCTGGCCACGCCGCCGTCCATGATGAAGGTGGCGCCACCTGTCGCCGCCTTGTGCCGGTCTGAAAAGCACGCCCTTTCACCTGCCCACGTGGCATGTTGATACATAAATTGAATTCATATCTCTTCCTATATATTAATTCAAAATGTGTTAAGTCTAGGTGACAGATTCTCATGCTTCGGATGCTGACACGACAAAAATCTATGCTTCGTGATGTTAATTTTTATATTATTTTTGTTCTGGAATTAGGTTTGATATTAGACATAAATAACTTTACACATATATTCATTAACTCAATACGCATGTTGTACATGGGTACTAGTACTAGTTATGTTGATACATAAATTGAATTCATATGTGCATGTCTATGTAGACCTGCTTTCATTTGTTATCTAATACAAAAATGCATGTGATAGATATAATTATGGCCACCTATTCTATGGCACAATCCATGTGAGTGACCCAATTGTTGTTAACTCCACACAATTTAGATGGCATTTGTCTAAGGAGTTCGTTTATTTTGAAATTAACCTATTGCTGAAGTCGTAAACGAGTCAAGTCGAACACAAACTTTTAATATTGGAGCTTGGGCTTCAGCATCGAGCCGAGCTAACCCCGAATCGTCAACTGAATCAAATCAAGCTCAACTCGTTTGTGTTAACAAAATTGAATCTTAACGAGTCGAATTAAGCTAAAATTTCATTAAATTACGTAAAAAAAAATCTTATTCTCAAGCATAAACTAAATAATCTCGAGCTCAGCTCACTTATCACACGAGCAGTCTGTTTCGTTTGACGATTCAACTTATGACCAAAAAAAANNNNAAAAAAAAAAAAAAAAAAAACCTAACTAGAAAACTTTAAATACATAATTAAATATGAGAAAAATCATCACAAATATAGGATTATGCAAGAGCAAGACTTTCAGTACCCCGTATGTGACAACACGAAGAATGCTTTTACTATCTTATAAATAGAGCTTCTAATATGTCTGAACCACAACTGAACCAAGCATTAACGTTGTGCCAAGTTAGAAGACGTGAAAAGTTACCCACGAGTCACGACTAACTTTAGAAGTCGGACCAATCAAATCAATTGTAGCTTAAAACTAAGTCGGACTCTCCCTCTTCTAAATCGATCAATGCTAGGCCGGTTTATGGGCCAAACCTGTTTACGGGTTCAAACAAAAGATTGTAACATGTCAACAACGTACTTTTCTTTTTCTTGTAAACAAAAGGATGAGCATTGGTCAATTGTTGAGTCCAATATGGGGACCTCTCTATAGTAAAGAAGAGTCACACAAGTTATGCTCTAGGCAGTTTAACGATTAGTCATTCCGTCATACTTTATAAATAAAAGTAAATATTATAATTTCTTAATATATTTCAAAAATAAATTATTTTTGTACGAAAATGTGTAAAAAAAAAAA